TTTTCGTAAATCACAGGGGTTCTCGTTTGAACCTCCACCTATATATATATATATATATATATATATATATATATATATATATAAAAGACCAAGACATGACTAAAGCCCACCAGATATAACGAGAATCATGGACCAGCACCATTTCCTTCTGGTATCATTACCATTCCAAAGCCACATTAACCCCACTCTCCGACTAGCCACCAAGCTCACACGCGCCGGTGCTCGAGTCTCCTTCGCTACCACCGTCAACGGCCTCAACAACCTCAAGACTCGCCCTCCCCTACCTGCCGTATCTTACGATTCCTTCTCTGATGGCAACGAAGCCCAAGCCAACGCCACCTTCGGACAACCACCCTCCTTTCAACAAATCGAGCTTATTGGCTCCATTAGCCTCAAAAACCTCTTGTTATCAAAAGCGAAACAAGGCCAAAAAGTAGATTTCTTAATCTACGGCATGTGTCTACCATGGGTGGCTAAGGTGGCGCGTGAGCTTCACTTGCCGTCGGCCTTTTTCTTTTTCCAATCAGCAGCTTCCTTCTCTGTGGTGGTATACCAGTTCTTCAAAGGTGATGGTGGAATGGTGAATTCCGATATTGACCCCAACGGTTTATTACAAATACCAGGATTGCCCTTGTTGAGATATGACGAAATCCCTGATCAGTTTCTGCGACCCACGGACGCGCTGTTCCCTGTTTTCCGAGAACACATAGAAACCCTAGAAAAAGACCCAAATCCATGCATACTAATCAACACTTTTGATGGTTTAGAAGAAGAATCGATTAGATCAATACGTGATCGTATAAACATATTCTCCGTTGGGCCATTAGTTCCCGGAGAAACAGAGGATTCCGATCGAGAAACGTATCTCCGGTGGCTAGATTCAAAGCCTGCGAAATCGGTGATTTACGTGTCGTTTGGGAGCATCGCGAAGTTAGGGAAAAAGCAACAGGAGGAGATACTTGAAGGATTAATCGAATCTGGACATCCATTTTTGTGGGTTATTCGCAACCACGGTGAAGACGATGAAGCGGCGAAGAGTTACAGGGCGTCGACGGTGGCGGAAGATGATGGATTAATAGTGAGATGGTGTTCGCAGGTGGAGGTGTTGAACCACTTTGCAATCGGGTGTTTCGTGTCGCATTGTGGGTGGAATTCGATATCGGAAAGTATGGTAGGTGGGGTGGCGATGGTGGGGTGTCCGCAGTTTGCAGATCAGAAGATGAATATAAAGATGGTGGAGGAAGTGTGGGGGAATGGGGTGAAGGCGGTGGCGGACGGTGGGGGTGAAGGTGTGGTAGGGCGGGAAGAGATAAAGAGGTGTTTGAAGGTGGCGATGGAAAGTGAAGAGATAAAGAGAAACTGTGAGAGATTGAAAGCCATGGCCATGGAAGCTGTGGCCGACGGCGGGTCATCGGATACGAATTTAAAACGGCTTTTCGAAAGCCTCAATTGTATTTCATAATTTCTTCAAAATAAAAATAATATCTAGTAAATGAATGAAATATTTTAATATTATAATCAACATTCGATTATGTAAAATAGGAAATTTGTAGAGATAATGTAATTTTTTGAGAAATTTTGATTTTAAGGAAAATGTTAGAGATACTGTTAGAAAACAATATTGTTTTTTTATTAATCTGGATATCCAATCCGTTAGACTAATCTCAAGATGACTACATTTTTTGCAGGTAGCCCATAGTCACCGCATTTGAACCTCTGTAGCCACAAGAGAATTTTTATTTCTCCTTAGATTCGAACCTGAAAACCATTAAACTTTTTCATTTTGAATGATTATATTCTTGAACATTTTTTAATAAATAAATCATCACATCTTTAAAATTGGTTACCAACATCATTTTAACCCAAAGAAAGTTTCAAAGAACCGACGAGAAAAAATTCGATAGTTTATTTATTAAAGAAATAATCTAAGGTTCTTAATCATTCAAAATAAGAAAGTTTAATGGGTTATTCATCTTAAAAAAATAGTTTAGGGACTAAATTATTCAAGAAAAAAGTTATGAAATTGAAATTTGAAAGCATATGTTGATGGACCAAGGAGCCCAAAATATTTGGTCCAAATATAAGCCCATGACACAGAACAAGTTGGTTCTAAAAACTCCGTCAATAATAATATTTGGATGAAAAGTTGATTACTGAAAATCCTAACTCGTTCTATTCGAAACCCACCTTCAAGAACACCACTGCAAGAAGACATTTCTTGACTCACTCAACGACTACGGCTGATGGAAGGCATGGGTCCGAACTCGGGACTTGTTTATTGATACTCTTATAGTTCAATCTTCTAAATTGTTTTATCAAAAGAAATCCTCTTTCTAATTAAGCAATTACTGTAATCATGCTTAATGAATGCAGTCTTGTCCTTGGTCACGTACAGCCCGTTCAATTACACAGGCCATCAGAACCCGAAAGGGGCATCGAGTTTTTATGTGTTATTAGTTTTTGATTTAATCATTTGTACTGTAAACAAGTAGTCAAGCCGCCCAGCGCATCAACTAAATGGCTAATCTAATTAACGAAAGGCATAGTGAATACAATCATCAAACAATTGAACATCTAAACTGATACATGACTTCATCTCTTCTATTTCGCTATTTTGATTCCTTCGGTGTGGGGATGAGCCACCTAACTTAATTACATCCCAAACCTTATAGAAACTTGTACTTTTCGTTTTCTTAAAAAAAATAAAATCAACATGACAACATTTTTTTTAACATTCCCGCACAAGACAAAGAAACCCCAAGACTGGCTGTGGATAAATGCATATAATAACGACATTATAGTTTTTATGTCTAATAACAACATGGTTCAATTTCGTTATTTATATTTTTGGTATTACAAATTTGTAGGTTAAATTGAGAGTAAACTGTAAATTTGGCCCATGTGGTTTGTTAAAAATAACATTTTTCATTTATGTAGTTTTAAAATTAGAAGATGATCATCGTGATTTGCAAAAACATATGTGAAATGAAATATATGATCGAGATTTGGTTGAGAAACAATTAAAAAAATTGATAAGTTTGATAAGCTAGAATTGAAATATATGATCGAGAAAAACTCGATAATAAAATTGCCATAAAACCGGATTTGATTTGTGATATATGAGCGATGATAGATTACGGTATATAATCGAGAAAGAATCGAGAAAAAAACGATGACAGAATTTAGATCTTTACGTTGGTCTTAATTCTATTGATGATATAACTTCTAATTACCATATTACCCTTCGTAAAATAAATTTTAATCTTTTAATCTAATGGCTAGAATTGCTTCTCACTTTCTTATATATTTAGTAATTAAAATCTTTTTATATATTAAAATAAGAATTAATTTAATTACATGCATCTCACTCAGTAGAAAAACAAGTTGTATTTTAAGTATTTATATGTTTTAACTCATTATCTATATAACATATATTATGGATAATGGCTTGGTGGCCCACTTAGGCCCACGAGGCCCACTGATCCACCAGCCATCCAGAACCCACCACGTGTTATTGTTTCGAACCTAAAAACATCGACAAAATGAAGTAAATTACAAGCATTTCGTTTCTTTATTATTTTGAAATCTATTTTTGAAACCTATTACTTCATATTTTTAATAAAATTAAATACATATTTAATACAACTAAAAAGGTACTCGCACAATGCAACAAGATACATCTTGATTTTAATATTTTATTTTATTCTTTATTTCAATCGATGTTATAATATTGGTTTATGTCATTTTAAGAAAACGATGATGTTTTTAATTTTGAATAAAATATAAATTTAAAGATATCATAAAAATTTGACAAAAATATATCGATATTAGTATCAAATAAACTATTTAAAATTTCTTATTTTTTATGTAATTTTTTAATTCAATTTTTTTATTATAATTTAATTTATGTACAATAACAAAGTAATTTATATTTGGGTTAATAATATAATTTTATTATAAATAAAATAATTAATTATTTTGTTAGAACTCGATAATTATCCTAACTATATTTTAGATCTTTTATATTTTAAAATACGATATTTATTATGTATTTGATTATGTTTATCCGCAGTTAATTATACGAATTCAACATCGAGCTTTAATAAGTTGTATTTATGTATAATTTACTTGTAATCTTGAATTTTAAGTAACATGCACCGATATACAGTACTTTATACATAAAAAATGATTTTTAAGAGTTTTTAGCAAATACTTTATAATATAGTATAAATAATAAACCATATTATAATTTTGCAAACCAAATGCCAAAAATCTATTAAGCATTAATCTCATAGATTTAAAAAAATAAAAATAGAAAAATAATATGTCTTATTTTTAATAAATGTATCCTAAATAGAAAAAAAAAAAAAAGTCTTGTATTCTCATTATTTACTGGTTTTGATAAATTAGGTGATGGATGATAAGTTAACTGATGAATTAAAAGTATATGTAAAATAAAGAATTTTTTATTTGATTTTTTGTTTATTTCAAGGGCATTATTGTCTTTTTCTTGAATTATTATTGAATGAATATATAGGTTATTTATGGTGTTTATTCACTTAATAAATTAACTAGATTTATGGGATTAATTGACTATGAATTCTAGTAACTGCTATAATAAATTAGCCGTTATTTTTGGTGTTTAGCCCGTTAATAAAGTGACGTTTATTTTCTGAGAGATGTTAAAGTATGAAGTCTTATTTCACTTTTGATTGATAAGAGATGGTGTTGAAGTTTGAAATCCGAATCATTAGACTGTTTGTTTTTTTGTAAACTAACGAATGTTTGAATTTATTTAAAGTGTCTATTTTATCCGTTAGAAAATTATAGTGTTGAATTTATTCATCATCATTACGAAAATTACATTAAAATTATATAATTGACATTAATTTAAACAAAAATATACCATTAACAGTATTTAACACATTTAAATCTTATTAAAGTACATCAGTTTAGAGAGGGGCGAGGATCGATTGCGAGAAATGACCGATTAAGGTTAATTGATTGAGAAACGTCGTTGCTGAGAGTTTGGACAAAAATAAGAGGCAAATAAGATATTGGTTTACCTCTTAATAGATAAGAGGACAATAAGGTATAAGTGCCTCTGAAAAATTGGAAAAAAACAACAACCTGAATAGTCATACATTTTAATGAATCAGATATAAGAGGCTAATAAGAGCTTTTCTTAAAAAAAAAAAAAAACAAATGAGGATTAAACCATTATTTTCATCTAGCACATCTTGGAGAATTTTTTTCATCAATACAGAAGTCACTAAATATAAATTTATTTCACTCAATAGTGGTTTCCTCTAATATTTATTTTATCCAAGAAATAATGTTTTCATCTGATACTTTCTTTTTCATCGGAACTCAACCCCCTCCCCCATATACATATATATATATATATATGTGTGTGTGTGAGAGAGAGAGAGAGAGATCAAATGCAACCAAACTATTTGTATAAACCGTCAATTTCATTGTATATTAATGAAACAGTTTCATGAAAACTGTTTAACATGATGAAATTGTTTCATATATTTTTGTTTCTATGTAAAAACGAAATTATTTCATGTATTTCTCATTTTGATGAAATTTGTTTTCTAAAATTAATAGAACGAAAAGTATGGAATGAAATATTGTAATGTAATAAGGTATGTGTATGTATAATAAAAAGAAGTGTAAGTGTTGTAAATTATTTTATATGTGAGTATGCCCAAGTAGAAACAAATACAAGTGAATTAGTATAGGAGGGAAATTTTTTAAAAAATAATACAATAACGACACTTGAGTATGGGGCACAAAGTTGTATTGCTTTCGTCACACTTCATTGGTTATTCAAATTATGTTGATAATAGCTCTTATGATGTTCATACTTCCTAACCACTCTACCATCAATATATATATATATATATATATATATATATATATATATATATAAAGAGAGAGAGAGTGTGTGTGTTTGTTTCAAATACAACCCGTCGCATTTGTATAATCCAATAAATTGATATATTTATGGAAATGATGAGAGTTCATTTATTATGATTTGAATATTTATGAAAGATGAATATGGTTTATTAATTATGATCAATACTTTATATTAGGAAACAATCAAATTTTTTATAAAATCATATATTAATCAAATGAAATGAACGGTTGAGATTAGATTGTATTGGTTGCACAAATGTCAAAAGTTGTATAATAACCAATATATATCTATACTATATTATAATGCATTTGGCTAAAACTCTTAAAAACTCTTAAACTCTTAAAACTCTTAAACCCGTTCATCCCTATCCGATTTCATCCCATAACTGAATCCGTGTAACTAACTGCAGATAAACACAATCAAATACAGGATAAAC